TTTTGATTAGCAATAGATTTCAATATTGAATGAGATTTGTTTGTTGATAGGATAACAACAGTAAATTAAGTTCATAAAAAATGATAAAGAACAACAAAGAAAAATGTATTTACCCAAAAAGGAAAAAAAAATCAACAGAGAAAATGTAAACACTTGGGTGTATGAATGCTTTATACAAAACTAGTTTTGACAATTTCAGATAAAAACCAACAAAGCTGTTACAAATTCACATAGAAGTAGTGAATTTGTATATAGTTTTACTAGATTCAAAATGATAAACAAGTCAAAATAAATAGTTGACACAAATTTCACTTAATAAGAGCCGAATTAACTAAACACTGTTTATACATCCGATGAATACAACATAATAGGAGTCCGACTATACTTAATTTTAAATAAATTAGATATTAAATTTTGACAAGATACAACTCAGACATGACAAAAGACAAATTCGACACGACCCATCGTACCTGAAACACATCAATGTGAAATTTGTTTTTGGAAGAGACTACAACTATGTTATTCACACCATACCAATTCGATGCCATATCCCAATTGATTTCAACTGGGATATGAGAGAGAGAGAGAGAGAGACTGTTCCAAGTCAGGCCACAGACAAAGACCTATGGCCCAGGCCATGGCCCAAAGAATGTAATGCTAAATTTCAGTGTCCACGTGAAACCCACAGCCCAAAAATTGGCCTAACGCCTAAGATCACTGGGGTAGGTATGCAGCCCGACGGGCCATGGGCCACGGCCACCCCCTAGTAGTACTTCTGGTTCCTACTTTCGATCTAAAAATGACAGCATTCAGACCATACCTGAGGACTAAGTGGGGGCATATACAGTTAGAGCACCTTTTCTCTTCACTTCAACATGGGGGCAATGCCCAGAATTGCCCACAGACGCTATCCGTGGGCCGAACCAGACCATGCCATGTCCTGCAAAACTGTTGGTCCAGACCGGGATACAGTGTAAGGGCCCATGTCGTGGATATCATGAATCGGGTTGCCAAATAAGCCATGGCGTGAGTGTGGGACACAGGCCAACCATCGGGCTTTTTGCAAAGGTAACTACAGCTCACTTAAATGTAGTTCTCACTTATAATAACGTATTGCTACTATAAGTGGTTAATTTTTAATGACAGTTTTTTAGTGGTCTTAAGTCCAAATAAGTCTTAAAAGGTCAATTGACCTTTAAATTTTTTAAATACGATACTCATCGAATACTCAATAATACGTATCGAATATACACCAAACGTATCCAATAATAAATAAAATATATAAATATTTCGTGGATATTTCTATATGTAAAAAAATATGTGTAATTTTTAGTTTTAATCTATACCCTTTTTTTTTTTGATTTCACATACAAAACATAAACCAATAAAAATTCATATGACTTGGAAGACACAAGTATATTTTCTAAGTATTATACATTATCACATTGCTAAAGAGTTTAAATGAATTGATTACTCTATAATCTTACCAACAAATACTTTTAAGTAAACAATATATTTAAATGTTTGTTCTTATTTCTTTAATTAATCACGTTCACTTTGTATATGTACCATAGTGAAATGATAGGTAATTTTTGGTACTCCTTATCTTGTGAAAACTCTGTCTTTCTTGAAGTCAACGGTTCAAGCCCCTTCCCCCCCTCCCAAAAAAAAAAATACGGTGCTTATTATTATTAAAAAATCTCTAAAATATATTAAGTCATTACATAATAGTAAAAATATAAAATATATATTTATAGACATATTTCAGTCGTACTCGTATCCTATTTTTTGAGTTTTTGTCATATCGTTGTATTTATATTTCGTATCCGTATCCGTATCTCTGGTTCCTAAGTTATGATTCATAGGTCCCACAAAAGTTGCTAAATAGTGAAGGTGCTAATTTGTATTTGTATTTCAGGCTCATACATTGTAATAAGACTTTTGTTACTCAAAAGACAAAATGCAATCTGGTATAGACTCCTCCATTTCCTTGGACAGGGTGATATTATAAACTCTTAGCCAGATAATTTATCATTTCTACAATCTGGTAACCACACACAACCACATCCGTGTCCAACGTATAGTATGACACGTTCGTCTTCATTCTTATGAGCTAGAGAGGCACAACCATATGGTCATCTCTACAAGTGTTCCTTCGACTATGTGTCGTGAAGAAATTTTCTCGTCCCACCAAAAAGAAGGTTTGTGTGAGAGTTAGAGAGATGCCTTTCATAGTTTTCTTTGTTTTTCGACATGAAGTGTTGTTTTGGACTTGTTCTTAAAGATGTTTAACAAAAGTATGATTATGAGGGCTTCAATAATTCAGTTGATATATGAGGGGCCGCTATTTGTCTGCTGCACCAGACATTGTATCTTGCCTTATTGTAATACATGCTATGTCATGGTTGGCATCATACAAATACTTGTTATGTTATGAGAGATCATTTAGCCATTTGTCGAGATATGCGAGAAATTATTCAGTGTAAGAATCAAAATTTTGTTTCGGTGCATAATTTTGGTGAGTTTAGAAACGAAAACATTTCAGGAATGTTTCGGAAACAAGGAAATTTTTGAAAATTTATTTCTGAAACATTGGTCAAAATATACCGAAACATTATGAATTAACATAGGTCAAAAAATGCCGAAACACCTAAAAACCTACAGAAACACCTTGAAATATAAGAATTTTAATATCTAATTAATAATTCGTTTTAATTTCCATGAAAACAGAAACATTTTGACTATTTCAAAATGAAGTTTAGTTCCTTGATTCAGTGTGACCAAAACGCTGTGATGGAACGATGCCCCGTATATGATCCAATGATGCATCAATTGGAAAAAAGAGATACATATCTTGCTATTGTTTTGTAACTTAAGAGGTCTGAAAAAATACTTTGAAGAAGAAATTCAGTTTTCTTTCCCTGGTTGCTAAGCAGCTATTATTGTTGTTTTGCTTTAGATGTGATTATGCATAAGTTTATAAATTAAACTAAATAGAAAAAAAAAAACATACTAGTCCACCAGTTATGGGGTTTAGTCTAAAGCTTATGTTCACTAGAGAAATGCAAAGGCAAAAGCTCACTAAAGATATGAAAATTACAAAAGAGTTCTCATAACAAAAATAAAGCAAGAGAACAACTGCCATACTAGCCTGCTGAAAACCACTTTCATCTTTTTTTTTTTGCATGCTCTTACCCTAGCAGTTTATGGAGCTATATTATGCAGTCATGTTTTATACAATTACAACCTAAAAAGGGAAATCATTGATAGTGATGTTATCAAAATAGAGCCTAGCATCTACATGTTGGTTACCCAGGGCCAGAAATATACCACAAATAAGATATAAACAAATATGAATTCTTTATTTCTCTCTGAAAATAAAATACAAGAATTTATACAAATTTCGCACAAATGAGATCTCTATCGAATCTTTCTCTGTTTCTTCCTCACTAATCTTGAGCATACTTCTAGTCTTCACTGAGCTTCCTATTTATAGGGAGTTTTTTGGCAAAAAAAGTCAAGAAAGAATGGAACCCATTTAATAAACTAGCAAGATTTGTCAAAAAATCTAGCCGTAACCCGTTAAGCCATCCATAGAGGTGGCTACTAGAATGAGCTACTGACTGATGGAGCTAGAACCTTCACTACAATCTACTATCTCAGGAGGGAGAGAAATAATCGTATATTCAGCAACAAATTCACTGATAAAGTAACTCTATTACAAAATATTATGCCCACAGTGAGGGATCGCTTTGCTTCAATGAAGTGTAAAGCATCCTCAATGAACCAACAACTCCTGCAAACATGGAACCTCCCAATGAAAGAAATTTCTCTGTTGGTAAAATATCTATGGTGAGGGATTTGGATGGAAGTTTTGGCTCAAGGCCTCCACTTCCTTCTGAATTCTATCTATTGGGACCTATCAATTATGTTCTTTGTTCTAACATGGCAATGATTCTTATCTCTTATTTCATGGCCTGTTTTATCATTTGTTTTTTGACTTGCTTATTGGAAATGGTCCATGTTGTTTTTTCAAAGGTCATCCCTTCATTTGTACACACATTTTCTTGATTAAAATACAACGGGCTTTATGTTGGAGCAATGACAATTAGATTGAAATCAAGATATCCACAATTAGAAATCTTTAAGAGTCCAACAGGATTATTGGTATCTATGATTTATTATGGTTTCAACAATTTCCTACATCATCATGTCAAGTAAATATATTATCTCGAGAGAATATTATGGAAAACAAGACTGTTGACAGATGAATAAAAAATTCACAACTTGGCTTTATAGAAACTGAGGTCTTCACTCCTACACTATCACTTTAACCTTAAAGTATACCATGTATTGGTCATAGAATATAAACAACAAAGATTACGAAGAATTCTTAAAATGGAAGCAAGAGTAGGACTACTCTATTGTGCCACATATCTAGGATATATGTTACCCTAAAAAAAATACTATTTTCCTAGTTGGATTAGATTTCTAGAAAAATTCTAGTTTTCGAATTGGTTTATATTTTTAGGTTACCCAAAAGAGTATTTTGGAAGAGCATCACTCACAAACTTGTTACATTTTGTTAGATTTGAGAAATAGAATAAGTTTGGAATTTCCCAAAAAACAAAAACACTTATATTGAAATTTGACCTAAACTCTCTAATTATTATACAAAAAGATTATTTGGTAATCAATGTGAGAATAAAGAATGGAATAGGAAACGTATTGAAAGAGCTCTAATAAACCATGTATATATCAGTTACAAGATTACCAAGTTTTTAGTGAATAATACATCGATGTTGGTTTTGGTCATTGGATGTATGTAAGGTGTTGTTTCAAACTATGTTATATATTTATGTCATGTTTTTATTGTTTTTTCTATCTTGAATTCCTATCTCCCAACTTATGGTATTAATGTTAATTATCCGTTGTACAAAACCAATAAGATATTATCTAAATTAGAATACAACAACAGATGCTTCAATATTAGTGCCAAAAATTATATTTATATTATATTTCAGGTATGCAATACTACAATAGCCAAATATCTAAACTCCTTGGAGCAGATTACTACAATATTTAGCTCTAACAATACAAATATTTATTTAACTAGACTAGATTTGACTAAACAAAACCTTTCAAACTTTTTTTTCATAACAACCACCAAAGCTAGCATCACATCAACTCTAGTTTAGTCGAGTGCAAGCGGTTCAATCAACAAAGACACAACTTGATCTCGAGTCTCATGGTCTTGAACACCATACCCATCCCCATTTTGGTATATGAAATGTGAGACTCGTGCAATGTTTGTTATATATTTGGCAAATGGTACAAGAGATAGAGATTTCGCGATGCATTGGTTGTTAATGCTTTTCCATGTCTTCGTTATTATGCTTCTAATGTGCTCCCGCGCAACCTCCTCAGAAACATTTGCTTCTCGCATGTAACATAAGATTGAGGAAGGAGCATCACCTCTCTCTAGTTCTGCCTGTTAAAATTCATATGGTCAATCGTTATTTCAATTTTCCAAGCATAACCAGAAAAATTTATAATAAAGAGTTAAGACAAGGGTAATTACTGCTGAAGTTCCCTGGTCATTGGTAAGTCGAATTATTATTGAAATATGATACACAAGATCTTCACCATTCTTCAGAAAATGCAAAACTTTGTCTGTTATTTCATGTGCAACACCAAAAAGAACATGAATAGAAAGCACAGAGCCACCGGATGATATCCACCCGTTATCGAGATACTCTTGGAGTGATGGTGTATAGCCTTGGTTATACCACTTTGCTTCAACTAATAATGCTTTACAAAAATTTTCCCACTGAGAAGAAGCATTGGTTTTAATAAGAACTCTAATTCAATGACAAATGAGGTCTAGACAAATAATAATTTTACATCATGAGACAATAGTTACCGCTTTTCGTAAATGGGGTAACACTGATTTCCCACCCTTAACTCTCTGAATTTCAAAAGCTATTTCATTGGTGGTATCATATAGAGCCTGGAAGCAAATCTTCATGCACTCAGGTAGTTGTTGAATTTCCTCAGAATCCCACCTGAAATTGAGATGTTCATTAGAATTATGAACATTTCTTGGTAGTATTTCATCACTTTAACAAGTTTAGTATTGAGCACAAGGGCCATATGGCTCCAATGGAGAGAAGAACCTATGTTTAGCTTTTTGAAAAGTATACAAACAAACACTTTTAATCAGGGGCGGCTCAAGCTAGTTTGAGACCTAAAAGGGAAACATTAAATGGAAGTCTTTTTATTTGTAGTATTATTTTTTTAAAAAAATTAATTTATTTTTAATTTTCTATGTGAGAGGGAGACAAAGGATGGATGTGTTAATGTTGTCCATAAAAAAATTTTAACTTTCGTTTTTGTTTTTCACCACAAAGAGAGAGAGAGAGAGAGAGTGTGTGTGTGTGTGTGTTTAATTTCAACTTTTATTTTTATCTTTTTATTTTTTTACTAGAGAGCGAGAGAGAGAGAAACAAACAAAGAGTGGGTGGGAGTAAATATGAGTTGTCTTTTGAGTATTTTTTTTTAATTTCTAAATTTTAATGTTATGGATTGGATTATAGACCCAAATTATTGCAATAAAAAAATTTTTGGACTTTTTTGTAGGACTTAAAATTTAATGGATTTAATTTTTTTGTGGGCTAGTAATGTACTTAAAATTATGGGGCTTTCTAAAAATTTGGGGTCTAAAGCCCATATTTTTTTTTTCCAAACTATTAAGGTGGCCTTGATTTTAATTGTCGTAAACTTGGCAAGACTTACCTATCAACTGCCTTTGTGAAGAGCTCTAATTCTTGTAGTGAACCGTAAACATCGTAAACATCGTCAATTGTTATTATGAACTTGCAGACTTTGGCTAGCCAATTTCTGAAATGTTTGTACTGAGGCTCAAAATTGACTCCCACAGCAAATAAGTAACTTTCGATTATTCGGTCCCTTGAAAAGCTTAAATTTCTTGCCATCCCAAGATTCCTCCACCACCTGCATGTCTCACAAAATGTTGCTCGATTTGTTTTATGAATGAACAAATTTGAATGAAAATTACTTGAGTCAAGTCCGAACTATGCATGATATAATTCTTTCCCAGCCCTATGCACTTGTTTGTCTTATGTTCACAACTTTAATAGTTATTACCTTATTATTTCCTTGAGATCTTTTTGGTGTGTGGCTTGAACCATGTTGAAATGAAGCTTAGCCAACTTGAGCAAATTGGAGTTGATGTTACCCACTTTTCCATATTCATGGATGTTTCTCGTGACATTATACCACTCCAATCTCCAGTGCAACGGAAGCTCCAACGCAGTGCTCAATTGTTTGGCTAGCGAAACGTCCGAGTTTGAAATGACAGTCTTAATATTTTCAGTAGAAAACATTCTGGCCTTGTCCATTATTTTTTCACCTTCTAAGGCAAGGTATGATGCTTCAAATAGCTCGAGCATTGCTTTGACATTTGTGGTTGTGCTTTGCATAAAATTACCCGTCTCATCCACGAATCTGATAAATATGTCTGAATTTCACATAGCATTTAAAATGTTAGGACAAAGAACTGAAAATAAAATCATTTTTTTTGTTTATTATTGCTATAAATAACAATCATTGATTCATGAGTTGAGTTGTTTATACCTTGTGAAACATTGTAGCCATATTGCCTAAGTAACCTAAAGCGTAGTGCAGTAGCATAGAGATCCTCTTCTATGGTGAGATTGTTGTCCTTAAGACACATTATCATGTCTAGGGCATCCTTGATTTCCTCCTCAAAAAGGGTGGCTAGACCTAGTTTCCCAATGCTGTCTACAAGCTCTAACTTAGCCAATGGCTCCACGGTTTCAACGAATGTGAACCTAACTTCCTCTTTCAGCTTCTCTGCATGTTTATATGTGTCTGCCTGCATGCATTATAAGAGCAAGGTAAAATGTTTGCATATTTTTATGACATAAGTACTTAGGTAGCAATTTGTATATTTAAAATACATTATAAACTAACTAATAGCAATGTGGTGGGGAGTTGTAGAATCTCACCGTGTATTCACTTGTAAGAGACTCTATGTAATCATATTTCCATATATTTGGCTTGTAATTAGCCGACCGCCTTTGAATGCTTTCATCCTTTGAACTATTAATTTTAGCCTTCATCTGGAACTGTAGCACTTGCTGATCACTTGGCATTCCATTTGTGCAAGTCAGCATGGTTGGAGAGTATAGAGAGGAGAGATGGTAGCAAAGGTATGTAATTGTAGAGATGAGAGTGATGAGAGATGAATTAAGATCTACTTCATCCCCGTTTATATAGGCAGTGACAATCATGTAACACGTGAATATGATTACATGGTGATGACATACGTCAATGCTTCGAGCTTAATTTAGAGATATTTAAATGTGACATTTTTTTGAGCCTTTAGGGGACCACAATGAAATGATATAACATAGAAGTATTCAGTGTTTGTTGGTGTAGCCATCTAGCTTTGGCACATGATTCAGACATTGAGTGTGACCCCTCCCTTGGACTTATTACAAAGAGATATTCTTAAGTTATGAAATGGTGGAACCACTCACAATCTCATCCAATGTTTCTTTCTTGGAAAGTTGGGAAGCATACAGTGTGGTCTCCAATTGTATCTCTTAAAGTACGTGTTGCATCGAAGTTTCCTTATCCCCAAAAAAAGGGTTTGCAATGAAGAAAATGCTATACACAAGTATAAAATTAATTCCTTTTAACAAAAATGTGGCATTCGACCTTTACACAAGGTAGAGAGGTGTTTTTCATATTTTATTTGCCAATAAGTGCTATTGTGGCCTTTTTCTTCGCAAAAGCTTAAGACATTTATGGTCTTGTCCTTTGAAAAAAGTACTATACTAGAGTACAAACTTGATTTTTTTTTTTTTACTAACATAAGGTTTTCAAAGGAGAAAACTATACTATAACAAAATACATAATTGATTCACAATTTCTTCTAACGGTTTTTTTTTTTTTTTTTGGGGGAAAGGAGGATGGTACCTGCAAGTTTATTAAATAACCCTCACTTGTGACGAGAGAATTCTGTGATTACATAGCAGCACCTAAACCACAAAATCAAGAAAGAAAAAAAGAAATACAATCAGAATAATAGCAAATCTAAAAACACAAAAAAATTTAGTTCCTAGTGTATGTCATGCCAGTTTTATCCCTCCTTATTAGTCCAACTAATTGGCGTGGTAAATTCATCATTTGCCATATAAGTTGTGTGGTAGGCTCGGAATGTTTTTGTTTTCATATTGTTTGCCAACAAGTTTTTTTTTGCCTTTGCTACCAAAGAAGGATTTAAGAGAGCTATGATTTATAGGTTTTCAAATCTAGCGTAAAAAAATTAATAGATCAATATTATTGAGACCTAAAAATTTAACATAATTTTATTAATTAGTTAATGATGTGACAACTAACATGGTTCAATATCATTATCTGGCTTGCAATTGTTAAATTTCTTCATTGGGACGATTCCAAGACAATCATAAAAAGGAGGAGGAGGTAACTAATAGAAAAATAAAAAGAATTTCATTGTGGTGCCCCTAGACGATTCCAAGACAATCATAATTCACTTATTCAATTTTGTATTTGTTGGGGGTTTCCTAGTAATTTAAAACTGTTAGGGTTTAATATTTAAAACATATGTAAAACTGATTCAACGCATTTTATTTTGTTTGAACAAACGTAGAGATGAATTCTCATTTTTTCCAACTGACTTGGTATTCTTCGTGAATCAACAAGTCTTTTGACGACTTTAATCTGGTATTATTGTTATAATCTAACACATTATAGTTTCTGTTATTTAATCTAACCATGCCGCCGTGCATCATGCTCTCCCCCCCTCCTCCCTCTCTCTCATTGTAAAATTGTACTTCATAACATTGGCTACACCATAATGGATACAAAACTCTCCTGACACTTTTGTAAATAGATCCAATCTGCAATGACAATAAATGGGACAAAACAAATCTGCCTTAGCTCTGGATATTCAAAATTCAAAGTCTATTTGACACTAAATAATTTTAGAAACCTATATTATGAGAATGACCCAACAATGGCCAAATGTTTAATCTTCTGATCATCCAATTCAGCATCAAATTCATCAAATTCGTCCATTTTTGAGACATATACTAGCGGGACCTAGGTGAAAGCCATGAGGAAATCACTTGAAATATATCTTAGCCAACATAAAGTGTAAGTTATATAACCTAAAAGGTATCAACAGCGCGTTTGATATGTGTGGGCAGGGTTAGCATGCAACATTATCTCTTTTTTCGATCCTTCAATTTTCGTGTACAGTGAAATAAATTTGTATGAAATATTTTAAAAGTTCTCTCAAAACCACACAACTAAACCCAATGTAAGGGGTAAAACTCTCTACTAAGGATTTCGGTTTGACCTGGGTTAACCCATGCGGGCGATCCCCCAATAACATTTATCTCTCAATGTAAGCAGGAGCTTCGTCTCACATCGACTGAGAGTCGTCTCCCCCCCTCACATATAAGCCCTTGCACTCAAAGGAGGAGGTACTCACTAGGCACCTGATCTGCCTAGTGAGTACCTCCTCCTTTGAGTGCAAGGACTTATATGTGAGGGGGGGAGACGACTCTCAGTCGATGTGAGACGAAGCTCCTGCGGGCACTAAGAGGTAAAGGCTACTGGAGGGTCGCCAACATGGGTTAACCCAGGTCAAGCCAAAATCCTTAGTAGAGAGTTTTACCCCTTAACAACCAACATCAAACACGTAGCGGCGGCCACTCGTTTTTCTTCTTTCGTATGAAAGGGGAAGACACAGTTTGACAATATAACCTAAGAGATGCTTAACACATCTATTATCTGAAGGGCTTCAATAATTCAGTTGAGACTACTATTTGGTGGGTCCATTTAAATAATTTGTATTTGCCCGGTTATGTTACATGCTATGTCATTGATGGCCTCATGCGAAAAAGCACGATTTTAATGACAGATCATTTAGCTATTTGTCCGATATATGAGAAAATTATTTGGTGTGACTATTAATGGTGCTTCAAACCCCGATTATTCATTAGGATTTTGGTATTGTTTTGGTAGGAATCAAATCATCATAAATTAATAGCAAACCAAAATAGGAAATACAGACTGCACAAGATTAAATATTTTGGCTCGAAAGTTTACATCTAAAGATGAAACATATTAACAAAAGTTCACTATAAGTAATGCGGATTATAAGGAGTTTTTAAAAAGGAAACAAACGAGTAATTACTTCACTCTGTCATGCATCTATAATATATATATCATCAAAAAACCAATGGGACTAGATTTCAATAAACACCTTAGTCTTCTATTCTAATTGGTTTGAAATTCAAGAAGTGGGTCGTCCAAAAAATTGCTAGTAACCGTCCTTCATTCATGGACTATAAGACTCGCAAACTTTCTTGAAGAAATTCAACTAGTTTTATGTCATACGGTTAGGATCGAAATGCAAAACATTATTGTAGAAGCTTTATTGTCTTACCAAAATACCATTTTTCATTATAGTACCTCTATTTTTTATTCAATAGAAACGTATATATGTCTAAAGTTTTTATATTTTATTATTCTACCAATTTTTTTAATTAATGGCGGTAATCATCTAATTTAAAATCGATGACTAAGACAACTTACAGTACGGTATTAAAAATATCATAGCTTATCTTTTTGGTAGAATTAGAACCACAAACAGGTTGTCTGGGTCTTTACTGATGGATGACAAGGCTATAAATCGTGTGGTCCAAAGCTTTGATGAGGACTACTTGTGGTCAGACAGTTTTTTGCACTGCCACATCCCAGCAGTAACAGTGCAACCATGTGTTTTAAGTTTTAAATGCTTAGAGAAGCAGGGGCCAATGTGGGGGACTTCATTGTCATGAACTTTTTGTTAATAAGCTTCACGAACACAATTTTATTCACGACATTATCGTAAATATTTATATTACACTTTTCTTTAACAACTCAAGTTTTTTGGATAGGTAGGAGTTTATTTTTAGAACTTAGAGTTCATGAGTTCAAATAATATAGGCCTCCTCCCTTACTACAGTAATAAATTATTTGAATCTAATTTGAAACATAATTCAATGTAATTGTTGGATTAAAGAGGGTTTCATTTAATATTAAAATTCATAATTAATCTAATGACTATGTTGGATTAGACCCCTAATTAAGTCTCTATAGCATTGCTCGTAAGTAAATATCATGATCCATTTGGTGGAATAGATGAAAAAAAGAAAAGAAATACAGTAAGAGTGATACATTTTTTATTGTTAGATGAAAGTAAACTTATTTTCCTCCATTTGTGCTTGAAAAGAAAGATAGAAAGCATGATGTTAAAATATTTGTAATATGTAATATATGAATAGAATGCATTATATATAAGTTTATTGAAAATAATGAAATTAGGCGTTTAGTATATTAGACTCCATTATTAATCATTAATAATCTATATTTATATTTTTTTTGAACTTAAATATGTATTTATTCTCATTGAATATACAATCGTGTTAAGAATTATCGACCCTAAGCAAAATGCAGATTTTTTACTAGTGTTACACTTTGGTTCAATGTTAAATTGCTAATTGAAGACAAGGTCACAATCATGAGAGCACTCAAATTGGCTTTATCAAAAAAATGTGAAAATCACGTCTGAAAACAAACTAAGAATGAAGAATGTAGGTCCTAACACGTCTTCAGACACAGTAACATGAAACACCTGAAACACAAGTGGGTCAATGCACAAGTACAAAACCTGGGACTTATATCTCTTTCAATATAAATATTTGTTGCTTGGCAAATTATTTATTATTAATGTGCGAGAGACTTACTTGTCATTATAAGAAAAAATGGTTTTTATAGGGGTAAAGTATTGTCATAAAAAATTTATTTGTCATCATAAATATTTTTTGTGGTCGCATTGCCTCGTCATAATAAGTGTGGTTTTAAAAGATTTTTACGGTAGCAACGATCTATTTTAAATGATATTTACGGCGGTAAGATCCTGTTATAAATAAGTTGTCACAAAAATTCGATACTTTTGTTTTTATCACGGAGGCAAAAGTGTGGTATCAAATACCATATTTGATTGTTGTAAAAAATAGAAGATATATTTATGACTGCAACGATGCCGCCACCAAAAAAAAAAATTTTTTTTTTAATTATTATGGACTGTTCATAA